AAGTCTAAGCACTACATTTGGCAGCAGCTTCACTACCAAATTCTTTTAGCTGTCCACAGCAACATGGAGAGAGTAAAGGTATTTCAACTCTTAAATTAATCTGTTTAAAAAACATTTCGAAAATCCTTCATTTAAGAGACTCAGAACCTCTGCTTTGACTGCAGAACATAAGAAAACTGATAAATCAGTGATTTTCAGCAAACCAATTTAAAAAATACAGCTAGCTACAATACAGCTGTTGCAACAGAGCTCAGAAAATGGTATTTCACTGAAAAACAACTATGCAAAAAGAGCATAAAAGGACTCCAGTCCTGCTTCCAGTGAAGTCATCACGCATTTTACCATTGATTTTAAAAGCATCAACTTCAGCCTGGCTACTAATAAAAGCATAAATAAATATTATGGCAATATGCATTAATGCCTGAGGAGCTTCCACTCAGATTCTTCTGATCTACTCAGATGGGCTGAGTAGTATGACAGAAACAATAGGAGATACCAATCTTCCTTCAAAATTACATGGAATTAAGCAGCACTGCTCTCAAAAGCAGACCGTTTTCTGGATGAGATAAATTGTTCTGGGTGGACAGCAGAAATGATCCATATAATTCTGAACACAATTTCTTCATAGTTAGCCAACATCAAAGAAAAGTGCCATTTTTTAGATGAAAAGAGATACTAATTCATTCATTTCAAATGACTTGCTTTCTTCTGTTCCCGTCTTATAGACTCCTATCACCTATTAAGCAATTGAGTTTCTCCAATGGAAAAAAACCATATGGTTTACACACTTGTCAACTTTATAACAGCATTCATAACACAGAACTACAAATTCAGGGTTTGGGGTTCATTCCATGTGTATTCATTGTATCTTATATCAATGTGATTATTATTTATTGTTGTATTCTTGCATTGTACACATCACACAAAAACAGAGCAATAAATACGCTCTCCCTTCAAAAATTCTAAAATTACACTTTTTTAAAGTCATGAAAATACAGAAATTTAGCACCTTTTTTTTTTTTTTTGTACTAATAATGTAACTATTTCTCACCTTTTTCTATGTAGGAATATTCAGATTTAACTGCTGTGAGAATGTGATCTTTTATTCTTACTTTTCATTTGAATTCAGGGTTAAAAAAAACAACCACCACATTTGCTCCCTAGCAAATTAAATTGAGATGTACAGCAAGAAATTTACATTTAGAAAGAAAAAGCAAACTTCTAATATGGTAGTAAATTGTTTTTGACTTTTCTGTCAAGGCTCTCTGGAGACAGCTTGATCCTGTTCTCTAGTACATTGGCCTCAATGCCCTCTACCACCAGAAAAAAAATCAGCTGCAATGCATACATATTACTCAGTGATTTCCCAAAATAATTGGCAGTCTGTATTGTGTATCAGCAAGCAGGTTCAGGTTCAGCTACAGCTTTGCCAAACTCAAGGAAGCGTAGCTGTACAAAATGAAGATGAAAAAGAAAAACTGTAGTAGTGGAAAGCCATTTAGAAATTAAGTTGCCTTTAACATATCTGTATCTTCTGAGACTATGTGCATGGTCAGACTTCATCACATTGGACGCAAGTCCAAACTGCTCAGCTCTCCTCATATTCTGTACTAGACATACAGAAAAAGAGACCCACAGCATTTTGGAACATGATCTTCTACTGCGCACATCAAATATTCAAACTGTATAGCTTCTTCTCATTATCATTCATTGCCAATGGGCCAGTCATTCAGGAATATACACAGTAAGGAATCTTCTGAGAATAAAAGCGAAGCTATTTTGCTGCATACTATACATCAAGGATATGACTTATTAAGACAAAACTCACAAAATGAGTAACTAAGAAGCTTCTTTATGAAATATTAAAAGTATGTTTTGTTCTCTAGCTAATCCTCCTGACATCGTAAACTGTCTATGCTCCAAAGATGTCCCTGTCCATAAATATTGAACACATGCTCCTAATGTATTTGCTAAACCATTTGGCACTGTCACTTCATAAAAGACATTAACTATTAACATAGCTTTACATCGTAAAGAGGACAAAAAAAAAAATCCTGTGGCTCTTTTCTGAGTAATTTTCTCATTTGTGTCTGGACAAAAGAACAAAGCACCAGAATGACTCCATTTGTGTTTACTACCATAGTGCAATTTAAAAAGAATGTATCAATTATCCTGGAAAGCTTATAGGTATGCCACGTAGAGAGAATGGCACACAGCTGCACCAAAACATACAGAAGGAATTATCAAGCAAGCATACAAGCAAGATGTAGTTGTTTGGTAGAAAAGATCTAAAGCTCTCTAACAAAAACCCCTATACCTTTGCCTCCCCTAATAATAAAAACCAGGATTATGATGATTCATATTGGTATATATATGACATGAATAACTTGTGCTCAAAACAGAAGCCTGGTTCTTACCCTCAGTACACTGCCACTGCTACGAGACAATACAAACCTCATTCCTGAGCTCCTTGCAGAAAAGCCAACTATTCTATTGGGTGATGCTCAATGTAATAAACCAAAATGCAATATTGTTGAAAAACTGATTGTGATCACAATTAGTAAAATTACAACATTTCATTCAAGCACCCAGTCTGTTCAAATTGACTGCAATTATCTATTAATAAATTACAAACACCCCATATTTTCCCATTACATTTTGCAAATCACTATCCTTAAAGCAGGTAATTCCGTAAAAAGGAGGATTAATTACTCCATTCTGGTTTTAGCCTAGATTGCTGTCATAGAACTCCTAAGGCGATGGTATATTATTTTACCTTTGTCTTTGGAATCAGCTGAAAACGTGGATTATGTCCAACAGTTTCTGAAGTACAAGACTAAAAGACTAAACTACAACCTTAAGAAATGTAGATCAGAAATTGAAGGACTGCTTTCCCCAATTTGCAGAATGAATAAGGGACCAACATTACAAGATGAGAAAGCACCATAAGCTAAAAATCAGAGCATTAACACTGAGAGCTACAACATGGGGTGCATTATAGCTACTGAAGCAAGCAGAAACAACATGGCATGCATGTAATATAGGCATTAAAGTAATGCTGTAGCCTTTTTGACCAACCAGCCTGCAAGACTGGGATTTGTCTCTCCCACCTCCAGGCCCCTACAGCTGAGCTCATCAGCCCAGGCTCCAGGCTTTAGGGTCAGTGGGTGCAGCACCCACACGACTCATTTTTGGAAGTCTACTTGAAGATGAGAATAATCATAACTTAGAAGCGCCCTTCTTCACCCCTGAGTAGAAAGGGGAATTCAGGGCAACTTGGCGTAGGAGTTCACATTGCAGAGATCCTCACTCACTCAGATAAACTGCACCACCAGTACGAGGGGAGAGGAACAGGTATGTAGTGACTGAATACACATATTCAATGAGTGACAATAAAAAGAGGGAAAGGACAATAAAAAACACGGTAAGTGCATCTGTATGTTCACCTCCAAACAGCAAACGAGTCAGAAGGTCCAGCTTAAAACTACAAGAAATGAGAAGAATTGGGATAATCTAAATAGGGATTAGGAATCCTCATTGCTAACAGGTAGAGGCTGATTTGAGCCCTTCACAGAAATGCCTATCACCCTTTCAATCGTCTTTTGCAGAAGGAGCCACTACGGATGCCTTTGTGGTCCATCTACTATCCTCATCCTGGAAGAAGGAAAAGATAACTCAGAAGGTGAAGCTTATTGACCGTTTTGTTAATGGACATCTATTTTATTCACTGCAATGCTCTACCTCCTTAGAGAGAGAGAACATAGAAACTGTGAGGAAAGAAGCAGCAGCAAGAGAGACATTTGTGCTAACTGCATAAGAATATTAAAAAACTTTAGCCCCTGGATACACACTCAAACTAAGAAATGAATTCTGTTTTATGGTTTTTGAAATAATCCAGTTATAAACATAATCCTATCCAAAGTTTTGCAAGAATATTTATCTTTCTAAATCATTACATATCTACAAATAATCCAGCATTAGTTTTTTCAAACTAGCTCGATATTCACTGTCCCTGAAATAAATTAATACTAAAACGAGTTAAAAAAAAATGTTTGATCCTGTTCTTCTTAATATTCACATGATGGTTTTCAGGATAAGTCTTCTCAAAGCCTGAGTTGCTATATAGTTATAAAAGCAAGGACTAAGGTGCAATTTACAGACATAAGTATCCCAATTATCAAGGAAATACAGGAAATAATAATGCTGTTGGTTACCTTTTAAGAAAGAAAACTACTTCCATTGTCCTGTAACTTTTCCTTTTTGGCTTCTACAGATTTTATAGTTGCATTATACTGCCTGTAACCTGACTTGCCAGGAGCTAACAGTAAGACTGAACAAACAAAATCTGCTCTGTCCTCACATCAGACCTTTTTATCAAATTCAGCTGAAGAACAGATGACCTTTAACAGCAGCATGTTTCTGTCAAACAGCCCTGACTGGCCTTTCAACAACATCAGGAGAGTTTCTCTGCTCTACCCAGTGGTCCTTCCAATTGCAGCTACGTGGTATCTTTCTGGCAGCACTACAAACTGTCACTCTTTAGCCTCTGATTCAGGTGTTTCTGAAATATGCTGCCACACAGCAATGCTGGCACCCACTAGGGACTCTCTTTTTAGGACAAAAGCTACCCCTTTGAAAGCAGAATGTGTTCAGCAATAGCACAATACAGCCTTTCAACATTTTCTTGTACAGAGAAAAGTTTCCTTTTACTTAATAAGCCACAGAGAGGCAAAACTAGATGTTTGGGTGGATTGGAAAACTTGGATGCACAAGGCCCAGATGGAGCTGGGACTTCTACAGGTGAAGCAATATGAAATATGAAGATTTTCAGTTCCCACAAACAGCTATTTAACACAATTCAAATACGTATGGCAGTGCAGTCATATGTGTAAACAGATACAATCTAAAACAAAAATAAAGGGCAGATACTCAAAACAATATTCAAAGGTTTGGTTGATGATAAATGTAATAAATGCGATGTAATAGCACTGAACTCTTACTCTTCTAAAGCCTGAAGCATATTCCCAGATTCTTCAAAGGACAGAATATCGATGATTTGGTCATTCATAATATCTTCACTAAAGAGATCACCTGAATTAAACTGAGAATGCTCCAGTTTGTGATTTTGGTTGAGTTCATGATGTATCTCCTAAAAAAATAAAAGGTAAGCTTCAGATTATGAAAAAAATATACACTAAGATAACTCTGGGTGAGAAGGTTCCTACTTGTCATCAAACTGTACAGCTGGAAAGGGTATAAAGAAATTGTGCAATTCAGATACATATCTGAATATGTCTCTGAATACAGGCTGGACAGAGAATGGATTGAGAACAGGACTTAGACCTGTTGGAGCAAGTCCAGAGGAGGGAAACAAAGATGACGAGAGGGCTGGAGCACTTATGTTGTGAAGACAAGCTGAGAGAGTTGGGGTTGTTCAGCCTGGAGAAGAAAAGGCTCCAGGGAGACCTTATAGCACCCTTCCAATGCCTAAAGGGGGCCTACAAGAGAGATGGGGAGGGACTCTTTATGAGGGAGTATAGTGACAGGATTTGGGGTAACAGTTTTAAACTGAAAAAGGCTAGATTTCGGTTACATATTAGGAAGAGATTCTTTCCTGTGAGGGTGGAGAGACACCGGAACAGGTTGCCCAGGGAAGTTGTGGATGCCCCATCCCTGGAGGTGTTCAAGACCAGGCTGGATGGGGCTTTGAGCAACCTGGTCTGGTGGGAGGTGTCCCTGCCCATGGTAGGGGGGTTGGAAAAAGATATCTTTAAGGTTTGCCTCCAACCCAAACCATTCTATGATCTGAAATCAAATATACTCTTTTTGGTTCAGGCTGAACCGATCTGGAATACAAATAAAGAAAATAATAGAGAAAACAGAGGACTCTACATCAACTTCAGTAAGCCTTCTAGGAGGTTATCATCTTCTTTAAACTTTCTAGGCCAACTTTTTTTTTAAATTATCATTGCGTGCAAATTGTATGTGGCAAGATTACAGTATTATGAGGCGAACAACATGAAAAACTAATTCTATGAATGTTGGAAGTGACTCAGTTACTTCACAGTTCAGTGAGACCCTTGAGACTGAGGGCTAATAAAATTACTGTACAAAAAAACCACGATGAACATCTGATGCTAAGACCAAACTGGCCCTTTTTAATGATTTTATTACCACAGCTTTTCCTGTATAAAGAAACAAGGCACGCCCTTTTCATTTAAAGGGATTATTTTTTCAGACCTAAAAGTTGTAAAATTTTTTGATGCAGATGTAATTTTCAACTGCAGAAAATAAGGTTGGAAGTGATTTGTGAGCTCCTCCGGCCATTCCAGAGGGATGAGCATTCCACCACCGTCCAAGAAGAGGAGGGGTGCAAACCTCTTACAGGACTGCTCCAATCTCTGTAATGTTCTGATCGAGGTCTCTAGCTCCCTGCCATTGAAGTTGCCCCACTTTACATAAATACATAAATAATTAATAGAAGCAAGGGCTGGAACTTGGGCCAATTTGATGAATATTTATCAGACTCTGTATTTTCTCCCTCCGTCCCACTACGTACTGAAATACCAGCTCCAAATTGGCACAGCTTGTATAAAGAACACTGAAAATGCTCCATCCCCAAACCCAACTGTTTTGCTTAATCACTCAAGAGATTAAGGCACGTCCAAGGAACTAAGCGACCTACATTCAAATCCCTATTCCTGATAATCAGAAATACAGTTTGGACCCAAGTCTGTTGTGCTCGAGGTGAGTGGTCTACTCAACTGGGCAACTGCTTATAACCCACAGACATCCTGCCTCTCATTTTGAGGGATAGAGAGAAGGAAGGGAGGAAACACGAAAAGAAACTAATAGCCAAAAGGGTAATTTCCCTCCAGTCTGAAGCTGACATCCAGGTACTGACAGCGGTTCTTTTGATCAGATTATCATTCTTACACTCCCCTCTAAACCTAATTGCGCTAAAGATTAGAGGTTGTGGAGATTACATTAACCTGCAAAACAAATCCATCACTTGGTGGCTTTTTGTCTTCAACTCTTTAGACAACCTGTATTAGTTAGGAAGTTATATCATCAGATAAGATCAATGAAAAAAATTCAAATAAAATACTGTCCAGACAGTATGACTCACCTCGTTTTTACTACGGAAACTCCATTTTAATATTTGGGTTCGGTAAACAATACAAAAAATAGCACTTGTCAATACAAGGGAAACAAAAAAAGCAATGAAGAACCCAGAAGCATGGATGGCAAGGCTGTACGAAATCTGAAATTAAAAGACCATATTATTAAAGCCACATTTTAAATATATATAAAGATCAGACACAAAGATTAGAACTGTAAGCAACATAGTAAATTATTTTTAAATGGCTTCACACAATTTTAAGCTCAGCATTGTTATAATTACTACATTTTTATTAATCTTTTCAAACAAGTGTCTATTTTCCATAGGTTTTCAAGTCAGCATGCTTCATTATGATCAGCTAGTCCAAATTGCTGTGTAGGTCCAAGCAACAGAACTCCCACAGATTGAACTGTAGGTGCTGTGACTTTTGGGTGTCCTGTACTTAACAGCCTATTTTGCAGTGTTGCCAAATTCTCCTAAGTCTTGCTGAAAGCGATGGCATTTCATATTGCTTAGAGGGTCTGAAAAATCAGTCTAATGTTGGCTACTTTAAGTTAACGGCCATTTCTCCATTCAATAAAACTGAATAACCATATTAGGGAAAAAGCACCAATAGGAGTTCACAAGTATGTAACTGGTAGTTGACAAAACCACCCAATTTGTGTGCACCTTTGCAGTTTCTGCATAAACCTGAGTCAGAAAAGAATAGCAGGAACACCAGCACTGTGAGCCAGCTAACAACTTTGTAGGCCATTCACTTTAGCTCTTAATTTAATCTTCAAATTGAATTGCATTAAAAATTAATTTTTCCTTCATGCTCCATGTAGCAAAAGTTAGTTCAGTGTTTGTTTGGTTCTTTGAGATCTTTGGATAAAAACACAGCACAGCTATTGGTATAATGTTTCACCACAAACTAATCACTCTGCTGGGGCTAGGGTGTAAATAATTAACATGCTGCTTGCAAGCTGGGCTTGGTCACCTCTTGGAGCAGAAACCTGAGAGCATTCCATGGTCCTAACAGTAATGCTGCATAGGAAGTGATAATCAAACGCAGTCCGCAGTTTGTAAAGGATTTATTCCAGTTTAACAGCAGAATTTTATCCTTTTACTACCTAGTTTTTCTCCCTCTGATGTTTTGTACACTGAAAATCTGTCATGTCATTAACTGAAAGGAACTGCTTCACATCAGACTTTGCTGTTTCACAGACCCAGCTCCTCAAAGCTGCTGGAGATGCTCAGTGCTCAGTGATTTCACCATGATTTCAGCTGAGTTAGGCAATGATGATGCCCTTGATGTATAAAAATCATGAAGATGTTAATACATGCTATTATTTGGCACTTTCACAGTTCCAAGAAGATCCAAGGTTTACTTCACGGTATTGTACATGCAGAATCAACAGTTTCTCTGACTGACAGAGGTATGCTTGGTTTGGTTTTTTTGTTTTTGTTTTTAATGTGCTTAGTCTAAAATAATGAAACCCTTGAAGTTCTTTGAGGTTCACTAAAATGTTTTGGGACTAAGTATTTCTCTGCATAAGCCAGCCATGTACTGAATTCCTTCTAATACCTTTTAATATCTTCCAGTTCTAAACGGAAACAAGAAAGAAAAGGAGAAGCAACACATTAATTTCTCAGTTCCGTGTGCAATTACCAACACATTGTCTGAATGGTTTTTTCTTAATGTAGCTTCCTACTACTTTGACCAATTACTTCTCTTATGCTCCCTTTTACCATGGCCAGCTGCTAAAGGCATCCATCACACCTACATGAGCATCAGTACCAGATCTCTCCTCCTCTGACTCTGCACTATTGCCCCCCAGTTCCTTGCCATGAGCTCGGTTAATGAGCTCACTGTGCATCAAAGTATCTTAATCTTTAAATTTATTTGAAGGATGACTACGAAAATATCCAGTAACTCCCTTCCCTAACCCAGTGTTTACTCCCTTCACGGATCAAAAGGGTTTAGCTTATATCCCTTGATCAGTCACAGAGCCAACTAATATCATGTGTGACATGGAAAAAACGCAACTTCTCTGAAATCAAACTGCTTTCCCCAGGTTCTCTGGTTGCACTAGCTGGTCAAGAGGGAATCACAGAAGGGGTCTCCTTGAGCTTTGCCACACCGAGGCTCTGCCTGAGGTCCCCTTGCTTTTGAGGAACAGGAGGTGCTGTAGGTAATACTTGCTGCTTTGGAACCACTTCATTTTTCCTGAATTCACTCTTATTTGTCCAATTTCCAAAACACTCTGTGAAATTCAGGGATCTCTCTAGGCTTCTGGGGAAAGCAGAATCTGGTGAAGCTATAGCTTCAGTGAAGCTAAAATGACACTGGTTAAGTTTTGATGGAGAAAAAGTGCTAACTAGGGAATGACGCTTTGCTTTCTAAGTAAAGTGAAAGGTAAGACCTACGGCAGGACAGTCAGTCTGCATCAGGGCAGGTAGTTCTGTCAAAGGCTAAGCTCTGATTGAGAAAAACAAACAGGGAATTATCCGTGCTTTTAAACGTAAAGAAAATGGGTTTTTGAAGGAGAGTCCGTGTCATTGGGGGGCTGTAAACCCAAGCAGGAGGGTACAGCAGCTGCCTAACAGCACCTGAAAGCATCACAGCAGATGCTGTGGGGCAGGTGCCAGAGACCCTGCACAAGCCATGGCACAGGACCAGTGTCGGCACCGCAGGTTGAACTTCAAACCACTGACCGACTACTCAAAACCCACACCCTACACTAACTTCTTAAGCAATCCCAAGAGTGGGAAGAGGCATTACAGGCCCAAGCTTCTTTCAAGAACTGCTGTGCTCCCACTGATTTGAAGGATGCTGAGTGAAGCAAGCCTGGTAAAAATCTGATCATAGTAATTACTACATCCATCCCATGCAATGTGCATAGATGGGAGAACTTCCCTCTGTCCTTTTCACTACAGCTTCCTACTCTGCATCAAAACCACCCAGCCACAGGCAGAGGCAGGCAGTACTCACAGCCCCTGAAGGCCTGTGGGAAGACATCTGGCATGGACACTCAGATGAGCAACACCTGTATTTTTTCATAACACACAAAACCACCTTGTCACAGGCAACCAAACACTTTCTTCCAGTGGGGCAGAAGAGAAAAACCACAGGGTTTGTAAAACTTGAAATAACAGCACAGTAGCCAAGTGTGCAAGCAAACCATGTGAAAGCTGATGGGACCAACTGCCATGAATCAAAATTAATTCTTCTCTTTTCTTTCCCCTAAGTCAACCTCTAGTATCCACTTACTCACATATGTGTGGTGGTTTCACCACACTCATGAACAGGTTTAAATAATCAGTTTTCATAAATAAAATCTGAGATTGAGAGCATTTATGGCAGCTAAAGTTGTTAGATGAAATATAATACATCACACCTTTTCAGCTGATCATAATTTCTTGCACAAACTGATTTCACTCTGGAACACCTTATGTTTGGCCACAGCCCAAAGGCAAATATTATGCATGTGAAACATGATGTGTTCCATAATTTCCAAGCTTTATTTTTCAAAAATTAACATTATTCTCCACACACATTTTTAACAAAATGACATTAGTAAGTTCAAATGAAGCTGAACCAACTTTACCTAAACTGTGGAATGGTCCCAAAGAACTTGTTGAGGTCCAACTATCAAGTTCAAGTTGGAAAAAAAAAATAAAATATCTCACTATAAAGGTTTTAAGTATAGTAATAGATTGCAGGAATTTTCATGGTGGGCTGAGACCAATGTAGCTTACAGCCTTAGTTTAGACATCACCAACTGCTGCAGATCAATTCACATTGAACTCCATAGAAAACTACTAAAGCTACTTTCCTAAGCCAGTCTTAAAGATATAAGCCGTGCAGTAGCTGTCTAAGAGTTTCCGTAAAATATATTTATTTTAGTTCCAAACATAATTCTTAGCTATACAAACATCCAATCCTTTTAAATCTTACTAGATCTTCATCCAGGAACAATGAGCTCTCTAGCTCATGCATAGTTTTACTTCATATCATGTTTAATTCTTGCTTTCATTTTAACAGAATAGGCACTTGATCTTCAATTATGAGAAAGCCAAGTCTGGACTTATATCTATTACACAATAGAAGCTAAAGGGGCAAGAGATCACAAATAATCCACAAGAAAGCCACAATTCCTTAAAAAGGCAATTCCTTTGCAACTCAGCAGCGTGTCAAGGAAATTAGGGGTTGGGGGAGAAAAAACAAGTTTGAAGAGATTACTCTAGCAATGAAACTGAATTCCCCCACTGCAGTGGGGAATTCTCTGATAAAAATTATCTAGAAGAATAACACTCTTGGCTGCAATCAATGTAGTTTTGAAGGTTTATTTGGCCTCTTAGAAACCACGTTAATTCAGAAGCCAAGAACTGGAAGTCATATTAGAAGGATGAGTAGAAGGTAATCAAAAACTATGCTTCTCTCACTGCAGTATCATTTCTCAGGGTCCCCACACAGCCATGTCTTGATTTGCGTATCAGCATAATACAGAAACCTCTTCTCAATAGGTGAAGAATAACTATAACTCCACCCTTTTGGAAAGACAAAAAGATTTCTCATGGTGGCTTTACACAGGAGCAGGTGAACATATGATGTGCCTGGATAATTCTTTAAATGAAAAAAACACGACTAGAAATATAATGGAAGTTTGTAGATATTCCTTATTAAATATTGTTGCTTTAAGACAACAAAGACTCCCTCTCTTGAGTCCAGTTTTCTCCCTCTTAAATATTAGAGAAGGCAGAACGTGTGTATGATTAATAGGCAGTAGCAGAGCGATGAGATACAAGTACTGAAGTACATCCTCTGCTCCTAGGATTTAGTTTAGATTGTCCATAAGTTTAAGCAGGAGAGTCAATATAATACCAAATAACAGAATTTACCTTGGTCTTTTCTTCTTCAGTTATGGTGAACGATGCTGTCAATGATATGAGATCCGTTTTATTCTGAGAGAGATATAAAAATATTATATGTATTTAAAAATGAGCAATATCCACTGGCAAGCGGCCCAGAGTCTCTAGAAAAGCTTCTCCTTACAAGATAAGCTATACTTCTCATTAAGCTTAAAGCTGAAATAAATCTGATAGGAAAACGCAGTGTAGTTACGGGTAACACTAACATGGAAGCAGCTGCTCTGTGGGATACACTTCCCCTTCTAAACAACACAGAGGCATATTCCAGTGCTCACAGAATTACATTTTTCTGTTCCTATAAAATCTGGGTTGATTGAAACACACAGAAAAGGAGCCAAAATCATTGTATACATCCAAAGTCAGTATATATACTTTCTTGTTTCTACTCTTAAGATTCCCTGTTTGTTGAAGTCTTGCTCTCTACCACTATAGTACCACTCTCATTTACACTGAACACTTTTTCCTCTAAAACAAAGGAGATAGATCTGCAGGTTCTAATTACATGCAATTATGAAAAACACAGAAAAAATACCAAGACGTATTTAAAAATCAGAATATTTTACTTGGGAAGAAATCGCTTGTCCTGCATCCTTAGTCCTGCCTCCTACTCAAAGCTGGGCTACCTGCAGTATTAGATCTGTTTTCTCAGAGCCTGGTGTAACCGAGTTCTCAAAAATCACCAAGGATGTAGATTCTTCAGCTTCTCTGAAAAATCTGATTCAGAGCTGTCATACTAAAAAAGTGTCTTCCTTATGACCAAGCAAATTTTCCTTTGCTGCAACTTGTCCTTTTCTTAAACAAAATTATTTTCTGATAAAAATACAGCAAAACTTTCAACCTCTCACAGACTACAGGAATACACACATAAATATGTGGAACACCATTATTACTAGGATACAGGGATAAACTAGAGAGAAATACAAAAAGTAGGAAGAAACAGGAAAACACAAAAACATACTTCACCGATTTCAGAAAGTCTAGGATTTTCTAAGCTATGAAGAACTAATTTATTTATAAATTCATAGTAAACAATCAGAGAACATAAGAACTTCATTTTATTATATACAGGCCCTATGGCTTAGGCAGACAAGAACCACTTTGGAGACATTTTACAAAAAATTGTGAAGAGCAAAATAAAATTGTAAAGGAAATACCTGTGAAGAACTCCGGAATGTTAGCTTCACAGGTAGTGTCAAAACCCTGCCATCCCACATTTCCTTTGCATCAAGAAGTGCAGAGTAGTTGATTGCAAAGTACTCTCCACCTGTTAGAGAAAAAAAAAAGCCCAACTGTGTAAATTAAGCAGGTGAGGTACATCTACCAGCTCAATAGTAGCCTCCAAGTAATTGTGTGTCTGGATTTTCTTAAATAGAACAGTAGCTACATTGCCTTGAAAACAACCCAGTAGAGTTGCACATCTTTTTTTACACAAGCAGACTTGGTGTACATCTCTGAAGGGTTGAACACCCAGCTGAGCTCAACTGCAGTTACAGATGTTTGCAAAATTTGAAAAACAAGTTCGACATGAATAAAACATCTCAGGAGCTTTTTAGGTTCCCCTTTAGACTGTGCTTCCTCACCAGCAAAAGTGCTCTCCTAGGAGCCAAGCTGCAGTAAGCTCACAGTGCTGACTTCAAGGGAATTCAGCAGAAGAGGCAGCCAGAGACGACCAGGCACACTCCAGAGAGAAGAAATATGGATAGATCTGCTCGTTCCCAGGAAATTGTCTCAAAGATCCCTGGGGAAGGCTTAGGACAGCACTGGAGCTTTTCCTTTCCAACACAGCAGATGTTCCACATCCAGAGTAGACAGTTCCCGGCCACAGGAGCCCAGCAAAATCCTTTGTATCTGCTGCCTCTAAGAACTCAAGCAGATTTGGCCCAGAATCTGGAAACTGCATTAAATGATGCCTCAAGCTACTGAAAAGCAGCTGCTTTGACTGATACTAAAACTCAATATGAGATATTGTCGCAGTTTGGGCTGGGTTGGCCAATGACACGACCAGGCACACTCCAGAGAGAAGAAATATGGATAGATCTGCTCGTTCCCAGGAAATTGTCTCAAAGATCCCTGGGGAAGGCTTAGGACAGCACTGGAGCTTTTCCTTTCCAACACAGCAGATGTTCCACATCCAGAGTAGACAGTTCCCGGCCACAGGAGCCCAGCAAAATCCTTTGTATCTGCTGCCTCTAAGAACTCAAGCAGATTTGGCCCAGAATCTGGAAACTGCATTAAATGATGCCTCAAGCTACTGAAAAGCAGCTGCTTTGACTGATACTAAAACTCAATATGAGATATTGTCGCAGTTTGGGCTGGGTTGGCCAATGACAAGACAACAGATGCTCACCCCCACTTCTCACTCCAAGGAGAGGAAGGAAAGAGACAGATTTATGAGTGTAGAAAGAACCAAACTACTTCAATGGAATATTAATAATAAAAAGGAAAAAATGCAATAAATACAATATATAAAAATATATACAAAACTGTATCAAGCTCCCAGGGAGATGTCACTGGCAGGCACCGGGGAAGTCCCAGACTGGACTCAGTGACAGATAGAAACTGGATACCAGATCCAGGAACCCACAGATTGGGATCAAAAGCAGAAGAACAGGCAGGCAGAGCCCTCCTTGAGCACAAGTCAATGAAGAAAGAAGAGATGCTGTAAACCCCTCACTTTTATACTGAGCATGGGCAGATGGGATAGCATACCCCACTGGTCAGTTTGGGTCACCTGCTCTGTTCCCCACCTCTCCACAGGTGTGACCCCTCTACGGGGAAACATTTTTCACAAAGCCCAGCCTTGTAATTGGCACCACTACTCGTAGTGCTGTTATTAGCAATGGAGTCTGGCTATTCATTTGCAATCAGACAGCAGCCCCGGGTCCCCCTATTTCCCTCTCCTATTTGGAAATCTTTCACCAGTAAAAGAGTAGCATAGCCCTAGGTACTTCAACCATAAACAGATATTACCGAACACTTCTGAAGCCCCAAGAGAAATATCATGACTCTCAAAAGCAAGTGGCTAATTTTCTATGTGCTTGTGCTTATGCTTAGGAAAAGGGAGATAAAAACTGGATACCAGATCCAGGAACCCACAGATTGGGATCAAAAGCAGAAGAACAGGCAGGCAGAGCCCTCCTTGAGCACAAGTCAATGAAGAAAGAAGAGATGCTGTAAACCCCTCACTTTTATACTGAGCATGGGCAGATGGGATAGCATACCCCACTGGTCAGTTTGGGTCACCTGCTCTGTTCCCCACCTCTCCACAGGTGTGACCCCTCTACGGGGAAACATTTTTCACAAAGCCCAGCCTTGTAATTGGCACCACTACTCGTAGTGCTGTTATTAGCAATGGAGTCTGGCTATTCATTTGCAATCAGACAGCAGCCCCGGGTCCCCCTATTTCCCTCTCCCATACCCCACTGGTCAGTTTGAGTCACCTGCTCTGTTCCCCACCTCTCCACAGGTGTGACCCCTCTACGGGGAAACATTTTTCACAAAGCCCAGCCTTGTAATTGGCACCACTACTCGTAGTGCTGTTATTAGCAATGGAGTCTGGCTATTCATTTGCAATCAGACAGCAGCCCCGGGTCCCCCTATTTCCCTCTCCTATTTGGAAATCTTTCACCAGTAAAAGAGTAGCATAGCCCTAGGTACTTCAACCATAAACAGATATTACCGAACACTTCTGAAGCCCCAAGAGAAATATCATGACTCTCAAAAGCAAGTGGCTAATTTTCTATGTGCTTGTGCTTATGCTTAGGAAAAGGGAGATAAAGAAAGGAAGAAAGGTGAAATTTTATGAATGTGCAATGATCCAACTGCTACCAAAGGAACAGACTGGCTCCAAGAGTGGAACGGGTTTATCTCTCTATTACTTGCTTTGATTTTATAATTTGCTCAGTTTGGAGAGAACAGATACTGAGAAGAGCTGCCTTATTTCTGATGAATAATCTTTCCTGCTTGCATGGCCTTTTGCAATTCCAATGTACCTCAATACCTCAGCAAGCTGATCTGTCACGCTTGGCTCGGGAAAGAAGACTCATCAGGTTGATAAAAATGGCTTGTGCAGCAGCTTTTAAAAATATCCAAAATGAACAAATACTGTCATGAAAGATTCTGTTTCATTTTGATGGCAGTGACTTTTGCAGAGTACAGGGGCTCACTTCTGTGACTGGGAGATCAAAAGCAGTTCAAAGGTAGGAGCCAAAATGTGAGTTAATAGAACTGTAAACTGCAGCACAAAACCTTTCCCAGAGTTTTTCAGCTGTATTAACTGATAGTCAAAGAATTTATACCACCATAAATAAATAAAATTAAAAAAAAAAATTGTCATGATTTGAACAGATGCTTTTCCACATGTGTAAGCAGATGTATTTCCCTGCAGATTTTCTTACCTTGCAAGAATCTTTTCCTGTAAATCTGTATACCATCTGTCGTCTTATTACCACTGTTTTTTTGAACATCTAGACCAGTGATATTGTCCAGGAGGATAAGGTCTGTAATGTTTGTTGAGAACAGCATGTTGGTGTTATTAATCAGAAGTGTAATGTATGCAGTTTGAGGGTCATGTTCAACATCCACCTGAAAAGAGAAATATTAATGGTGCAAAATAGCTGTGTGTGCATCCTAACAGCAAAATTCATACTCCTGATTACTAATAAAAGTTCATTATATGCATAAACTCATTTTCTGAAGTCATTCTGAGTGACCTGCAAATGGCACTACACTCAGTTTGATCCCAACCTCACGAGGAGATTTTAATTGTCTGTATGTCAAGCTGTTGCTTGGAGACAAAGGGACAGAAAACCAGAAGTTGGAAATCCAGCTCACACAGAGCCAGAAGTGAAAACAAGAACCTGAATATCCTCATCGATACCTCATACAACACAGAACTGGATCACAACTTCACAACCAGAGTCTGGAAAATTCTGAACTTTGAACTTCTGTACCACAAGGATGTTTCTCCCCTGCTGTGGAGATCTTCAAGACCCGCCTGGATGGAGTCCTGAGTAATGTGCTCTAGACGTTCCTGCTTTAGCAGGGGAGTTGGACCAGATGATCTCTAGAGGTCCCTTCCAACTCTGACAATTCCGTGATTCCATGATTCTTTTGCAAGCTGCCCAATGCAAATTCATTCTCTCCATGCAGTTTTGGTCTCCATCTCCCTGTTTTCACAGCAGCCACATTCTTCAAAGGGTGCTGGCTGCCTCCATTTGCCCTTCACATGGGAGAGCTGATGGAGCCACCAGCAGACCTGGAGTTCATGGCTCTACGTCCAATTAGTGGTGAAGTTCATAAACTAATTACCAATTAGCTCATGCGATTTTATTAATTTATTCCATTAGGCCATTAACTCTTATTGAATAATTACATCCTCTAAATGAAATTACTTCTAGCATAGAGTTGCTTACTGACCTCTCACCTTTCAAATCGCCTTCTCCTATAACTCATATTAAACCAGAATTGTCTAAAACTTTATCAGGTGTGTAATATGCTGGCCTATAGTATAGCTGTGATGGTATATGAGGCTTCTAATAATGACGCCAAATTAATACTTATTTAACTAACCAAAGCATGATTCAGGCCCAGCCTTTCATCTCCTCCTTTTTAGGAAACGTCTACTCTGTATCGGGACATCAGCAAATATAAGTAACAAAGCAGCTCCCACAGAAATGAGTTCTAAAAATATGAATTGTGAGAGACTTCAGAAATTACACCAGAGTTCATGGTAGCCACGGGGTTCAACACACGTTGTTATGACTTCATTGTGCACCATTAAACTCTGGATTTCATATTGATTCAGTATAGAAACAGATTACATTTTTAGGATATCTTATGAATCAAGGAGAAGAAACACTTTATTGAAATTATTGTTGCATAGTTTACATTTTTCTATTTAAGTGACAATAATTAAAGTACATTTGAATAAATCTGTTTATATAACTAATTCTCCCTGGTATACTTACAACACTAAATTTCCCAAAATCATTACAGCAAGTTCAACCTCAATTATATTAAACAAATATTATGGAGAAAAAACCCAACTATTTATTGTACTACATTCTTCATATTTTCTGCAAAGATGTCAGCACATATAAAAACAGGCTTACTCATATTTGTGAAGAAAGCATTACCAATTTCATATGTTTGTATATCACGAATTACATGCCAACATTTATGAGACTAAAAATCACCAAATATTAAAAATGTGATATATTTTGGGCAGATTTTCTCTCTCCTGGTTTCTGAACTGGCATGATGCAGTCAACATGCCTTTCAACCTTTCCTGTGCCGTCACAAAGGCTAGAAAAGCTTGCTTTAAAAAGCAGAAACAAAATGAAAGAGGGGGAAAAAAATCCTCAGAGCCACATAAAGAAAATCCAAATCAAAAAAGCAGAGACCTTGACCCAAACACCAAAACAAGAAAACACACCTTGAAAGAGCCAGGTTCAAACTGCACGAGTTGTTAATCCTCTGTTATGCTCCACAGTACGAGCGGATGGGCTTGTGCAGACAAACGTTTGCACCAGCAACAGAGGGAGCTGGGGAAACAGGGGGAAACAGAAAACCTTTTTCCTCCCTTCATTTTCCCATACCTTTCCCTTGCTCTTCTGTGAGATGAAGGCAAAAATGAGGATTTCAGGGTCTCCTCCTGTGCTTCTAATCAGTCACAAATCAGGCACTTCCCTTTACATTTGAGGAGAGGGGATGTAAACAGTGATTTAGATAAACTCTTACAATAAAACAGGCAGAGCAAGTACCATGTGTACATTCAGAGGCAGGTGGGGGAATATGGCAGCATTAGTCCTCTCCTTCCCCTAGGCAGGAGGTGTAATGCACAGTCCCACACACTATTAATTTTCTTTCTCCAACCAATTTTGCACTTTCTTTTAATTTTGTTTCATTTAATACAATTCTTAATTCAGTGACTAAACGAAGCAACCCTCTAGAGGAACCCCAACCATACAGCCTCTCTCCTACTGCAGTCTTCCCCAGGTGGCCAAAAGGCCACATTTGTTGCATTGCTGATTAATATAAATACATGTTCTGCATTCTTGATTTTTGACTGGCAGACAATTTTAAGCAAAATTGTAAAGGGGTTGAAAGAATTTGGATTTTTTTTGGGTAGCACTGGAGAAAGCAGCAGATGGGAATCAAGCAGTTGGGAAGCTCTTGGGTTTGATTTCTCCTAGAAAGAACCTCCTCCATACACCGCTCCCATTGGGATCAGTGGCCACTGGACACCTCCTTTAAATTCCTCCTTTAATTTGCCTGAAGATGTTTTTTTTCCTTGTTTTCAGAGCAGATGATTATGCTGCCCACCATCTACAGGAACCAAACCCAATGGCGGTCACTGATGATGCCCAACCCAACGGCGGTCACTGATGATGTCTAAGTGTGTACTCCATTTTCTCTCTGCTGCTGAAGCACAGAGTGTGTGTCATCACTCCCTGCAAGTGATGCCACTTCAGGTACTTGGGAGAGTGGAATGAAAGAACCAGAGCAAGAGCAAGGGCATGTTAGGAGAAAGGAGAGGAGGAAGGAATTGCCATGAAACACAAGGAACACAAGACTTTTGGGAATAAGTTAGAACAACCAGAAACAGGAAAGGAGGAAAAAAAACACAGGATGCTTGTATCATAGATTATTTATGCAAGAATGCTTAGGAGATTGAGAAATGAGACAGGTAAATGGGTTAAAAGCCAAACAGTCAAATTTAAAAATTTACTTCATCTCTGCTGAAGATTATGGTCGTTATGAAGTACTATCACAGAGCAGTTCAAGTCACACCATAGAACGATGCGATGCTCTTATAGAAGCACATTTCTGGAAAGCAGGAAGAGACTGGGAGCTGGAAGCATAGGTAGAATTTAAACACTTCAGTTTCAATAAGGGTATTTCTGCAATAAGGTGCTGGAAAAATCCTGCCTCCAAGAAGTAAACATATGTTATCTCCATGCTCTGAGGGGCCACTCATGGTAGGAGGAGGAAAATGTGCAAAATTCACTTTTTTCCATTTAAAACAGCTAAAGACCACCATATGGCCAGTCTGTCTCTTAGCAGGAAAGCATCTGTTCAGAAGAATTAGGATTGAAGTAGATGACAAGGTAAGCAAAGGAAAAGAAAATGTGAACTGCATTTGAAGGTGGAAGACAATCACATACAATTGCACAGTTTTCAGTTATTTACAACTAACAGCACAGCAAAATTATTTTCTGATAATCCTAGCATCTACAACAGACTCTCTTTGATTTTTTACAGCAGGATTTCACAATTTTTAATGAGCTTGTGTGGTGCTATGCTATAAATAGCACATAAAAACAACATGTAACTGTCTCAAACTCTCTTTCTGAGAAGCTCTGATACAAAATTTGGGAATCTACAGCCAGAAAAGCAGAATATTCTGTGTTACTGCATCTTATGCCTGAAATGCTCACTATTAGCTATTCAGTTAATTATGATATGCAGCCATTTAAATAACAACATTATAGGTTATTAGTGCCATGAGATGTTATGCATATTCATTCTTCTCTATGCAAATGATCTGGTGCAGGTTATAATGTCACCTCTTCTGTAGTGGTTACTGAACCCTCGACCCTCATATGCAGCATTTCAGTGGCTGGATTCAGATTTGTCTAAAGTTGTATGCACTTTTGCTCTCCAAGGGACAGGCAAGATGAGCTGTCTCTAATTATAAATATTCAGACTTGCTTCATCCAGTGTAAAAAAAAAAAAACAATGGAAAAATAACAGTCTAGGTAAGTCTATCAATCTATGCCACATAAAGTAAAAATAAAATGGAAGGTTTAAAATCTCCTTATAGTAGGGAGGTCTTTGCTCCTCATAAGCATTTTACACAAGTCAAATGAAACCTTTTTTCAGTAAATACTGTGCTGCAGCTGAGTCCCACTGAATACACAGAGTAGGAGACATTAGCTCTTCTATGGCTGTGTGACAGGATGCCCAAAGACACAGTGGGCATCACAGGGCTCAGTGGCCCATCCTTTGAAAGGACTCCATACTAGACACAGCTAGGGCACCCATGGCTGAGCCAGGAGAGTATCTCAGAAGGCTTATCTCAGCCTCTGAAGAAGTCTGTCTCTATTTACACCCAGCCTTGTAGCTTATTTTTAGAGCTCACTGGGCTTTGCCCCTTTATAGTTTTACAAATTCTCACCGAGGTATTTACTCTGACCATAATCCAAAATCCCCTGAACTCTGAGAGAAGATTTCACTGACTTCCTTCAGTTTTGAATCAACATTGCAAAACTGTGCCTCTTATAGAGGATACAAACATCATAATATCAAAATGGACGTTCTTCCAAATACTCAGCATGGGCACAATTCCGTTTCCAATTTTTAAAGGACATTTGGATACAAACTCCCTATCAAATTAACAAGACAATTATAAGAAAACTTACCATGCCACATTTCTGAAGGGTTATTCCAAGTCCAGAAGACAATGACATACTGGACACATCTTCAGGCTGTGGAGGAAGGGGAAAAATCTACATAGTGTATGAAAATATCATAATTCACAAACTGCAGCACAAGTTAAATTATGTAAATAATGAAATTTAAAAAAATATTAGAGGTATTAATCGTCTTCAAATTTAAGAGCTTCATTATCCCAATAGTTAATCTTTTTTTCTAGTCCAAATTTGTATGAACTACTTATTCCCACAAGTAATTACTATTATCTTAATTGATATAATCATCTTTTGGCTAACACAATTCCCACAAAATACGCTATGCCCAAAGTTCATCAGACTCTACAGATGTGTTTCATTCCTAAGTGCCTATCAGAATTTACACAGCAATCACATAGCTGTAACTGTCACAATAATTCTTTGGACGTCTCACAACTAGTTGTTGCTGAAGCCATCTCAAGTGAACATAATCACCTGGGACAGAGTTAGAAGCATACTAATTGGGCAGTAAATTCCCAGCGATGTTCACTTTTGATATAATTGCTTACAAATACAGAAATTGGCAAACTCGCTGAGACAAATACAGAAACTGGCAAACTTGCCCTGGAACTGTTCAAGGCCAGGCTGGATGGGGCTTTGAGCAACCTGGTCTAGTAGGAGGTGTCCCTGCCCATGGCAGAGGGCTTGGAACTCAATGATCTTTAAGGTCCCTTCCAACCTGAACCATTCTATGATCTATTACTGACCAGCTGGTGGTTAACAGAAGACTCTCGTTTGAACAAAATCTTCCTTGTCCATGAGGGTATCAAAGCAAACAGTGAATGGCTCCACTGATCATCCGAGGCTGCAGATGTCAAGAGCCGGTGAGGGGCTTCACTCGCTTGAAGGACCAGAGGTAAAGGCATTGCTGAAAACCAAGGCAACATTCTGCATTAGAGCTAACGCTGGCTCCTGTCCGGCAGCCCCTTGGTGCAGATTCCAGCCAGGGATGGGGCTCGTGGTACCCGGAGCTGTGTGTGCACACAGCAACCAGCACACTCTCCCTCAAAGCACCTAAAACTAACACAGGTAACAGAGACGTGAGGCAGACTTGAGGCCAGACAGGAAACAGAGGTGGGATTTGCCCCACAGAACCCAGCAGGAGTTAGAACAAAACCATTTCCTACTTAGGGAACTCACGTATACCCCACAGAAAACTTCTTGCCATTTAAACGTAAAGCATCTAGTGCATGAATTAAAAGGTTTCGGCCTTACATCAACCGCTAATATTTTCAGCACAAAGAAATTTTCAGCAAAGAATAAATAATTGAAGCACTCTACGACACGAGTGGCCTCAGTGCTAAGGGTGTTCTGCTTCAGAGATACAGTCTGCCAATTAACCATTAACCACGTTAATACATATGCAGAACAAAAATACTTCTCAGCTGAGTAAGGGTCTCAGTTACATTTTAGCTGAACTGGAGTGCCATGAAATCAAACTCGCCTCAATTTAGTAATTAGCAATATAAATGCTAGCTTATACTCCTGTATTTTTATGAAAGATTAGTCCATGATATCACACAAAATTACAGGAACAGTCTTGAAATCATATCACTTTCATTTACTAAAGTGAAAGTACCAATGACATCAATAAAAGGAGCTTAAACTAAAAATCAATAATTTAATATACTAAATTGTCAAAAGGCAAAGCTGCTGAATGAAGAGAAAAAATGTCATGAAAATTTCACAATGATAGTTGGCTGCCTGTTTAAAGATACTTTTTTCATTCTTTACATAATAGTTCTCATTTATTACTTTTTTTTAAATCCCATATTTTAATCATTAGCAATATATATTCATATGAACAAAAACTCTCATTGAAAAGCCAGGTTTTTTTGGCAAATGACATTTTTCTATAAAGTTTCCATTTTTAAAAAAATGTATTATATGTTAATGAAATATGAAAAGATGAAGATAGTTGAAAAGCTGAAGATACTAAAATCTCATTAATAGGAGGAGCATTTTTTTGAGAAAGACATTGAAAGAACAATACAGAGAAATACTGTTTGCTGTAAATAGAAAAGACAAGCACAGAGCATTCAGCATTGGACCCTTAAACAGAGGTCTTATAAAGGGCCTTGAAGTATTGATGCACATGAAAATCACTGAAAAGGTTCTGTTAACATAAAGAATGAGATGCAGTCCTGCTGCTTACAGAACCCAGATGGACATGTGCACCTTGGGGAGTTTCACTGTCTTCCCATGCTGGAATAGCATGCTTTTTATTTGGGAAAGACCAGGAAAAGCTAGCTGTTTACATTTTACAATCAGTTTTAATTCACTTCTATTAAATTTTACTTAAACAACTGTTTATGCAACAGACTCAGACTAATTCAGGGGCTGTAAAAATAACAAGGTAAAGTTGGTGAGAACAGTAATATGTATAATTACAATACCAAATGTCTGCATATCGTTGGGATTGGAATTTTTTCAGGGTCGTCATGCATGGCATAGTTCTGTTTCAAGACTAAGCAACAGCCCAAGTCACTCAGGATGACACCAGTGCTGAACCACCTGGCCATGGCACTGCCCAGCAGATCCAAGTATCATGCTATATGCCACCTCCAAGGCCTCTAAACCTACGCTCTGACTACTGAATCAAGCCTCTTTGCAGTTTTGCATAGATATAGCCAAACACTGAAAAAGATCCATTTTATATTTGCCGTGTCTCATATATTAATGCAATTACCACCCCACTCCTATGGAGGCGGAGCACTAATTCTCCTTTTTGTTCTCTTGCCAGACTATAGGAGATGCATTTTCCTTTATAGGAAACAGAAGCCCTGACTGAAGACATGGAGCTTCTTTGTAGGGCTTCATAAGAGTCAGAAGTCAAAATGGCAAAATGTATGAGCTGGGCTGAGCAGTTACTGCCTTGATGATGCTTTCTTGTTTGCAGATCCTTTCCTTCTGTATTTTGGATGAGGGAGGTCAGCCAACAAGAACGGTTAGTTGCTTCACAAAATATCTTTCGTTCTTGCTCCCTATGCAGCACGACATCTCCATCAGCACACCCAACTGCACTTTTCATGTGACAGCAAATCCTGATACTCCCCTCTGGAGAGTATCTAACCAATTTAATTAACTGATCATGTTCTTTGACTCTGAAATAAATCTCTGGATTACTAATTACACAGATGAGTCTGTTTTCAAGTTGTGCTTTGTCATCACTTACAATCCCAAGATAACGTGCCCAGCTCCCAGCAGAAGTCTCCAGGCATGTTATTTGGCTGCTCCATCATCAGTAATTGGTGGTTGGGGATTTTGTAGGTTCTTGACATTATGCTAAGCAGCCTCAACGTTGATGATGATTACAAGGATACTTCTGCAAATTCACTTGTATCTTCCCAGCACTCAGTGGAAGGTTTTGCTTAAATATATTCAATCAGTGAGACACATGTCCATACAGCAACATGTGCCACTGCCTTCCTCCAGATTTCCTCTCATCCTTCCTATTAATTTTTAGCAATACAGGCTGCCTTATAATACCCGGTTTCCCTTGCCAGTAAAGCAGCACTTTTCTATCTCATTATTTTTTGTAGTATCGATTGTCAGTTAAATAAAATAACCTTTTCCTGATCCATATATATTTAACTGTCACTAGAACATTATACAGCTCAGTCCAGCTGACCTACAAGAACATAACTGCTTTTCCACATAACTTGCTGCATGCTCTTACTATCAAGACAACATAATTGTATTTATCAATTCACCTGCTGTCTCTTTTCAGATAAGGTCCTAGATGGATTGTAGATGGCTGATGATTGCTTGAAAAGCTGGATGCTGAATATCTGAGAAAGGACAGTACAGGCATTACACGTTTTGTGGTTTTCACATCTATCCTAGATTTCTGTTCTGAAATTGCCTTTTTTTAACAAATAGATTCATCTGAAGTTAGGTAAGACTAATACTTGACTCCCGAGGCCTTTGACTAACAAACATCGAGCTTTCTTTTGGATATCTTGCTGCTCAGAAGTGTGAGCACACCACTGTCAGTGCCCCTTCAGAGATGCCTCCCAATTCTGACACCAACCCTGCCGTCTCCTTGTTCCCTCCACTCTCCTTTCTTCTTACAGTTTCAACTTCAACCTCTGCCATTTTTCTGGCTGTTCTCAGAAAAGCCATTATCAGAGCTGCATGGTCTTCACTTCCATTAGTTTCTAAGCGGAAACTATTCCCACTCCTTTTCAAAGGGGAAACTTTGCAAAGCAGGGCAATGGTTTCAGCTCTATGTACATCCCAAACCACCGCCTCTCAGTGGGGCTGGCCAGGCTGCCACCCAGCACCCCTGGACCACAACACCTCAGGCCAAAACGCTTCCTGACAAGCAAAGCAGCATGGCATGAGGCTTCATCTGGAGCTTTCCTGCAAACGTCTCCAAAGATGCCAAGTGAAACAGTTCATCAAAGGCAGCAATTTTACTTTCTTCTGAGATGCGAGACAATATCACCATCTTTAAGAAGAAATTTTCTCTGCTTTGTTTTCCTTAATGACATAAAATAAACATTCCACATTTTTACAACGTATTATCAAGTTGTTAAATATTTTATCTTACTTTTAATTAGCACATTTCTAAAACGTTTTCCTGGGATTTAATCCTCCATAAAGCCAATATAAACAGATATACCAGAACCCTGTCTTAAACTGCATATTCCTAGCTAATTACCAGTGCTGCTAGGTCAGCTTTGTATTGAATTACAAAATGAAAAGGTGAAAATAAATATTACTATAGCTGAAAGAGCTGGGAGATTGGTTTACCATTTTACCACTCATGTCAGTATAGCACTCTGTCTTTCATATGTGCTGTGCCACGACAATATGAAATGACAAATGCTCAGTTGACCAGAACAGTCCCTGCTATTTAACGATGTTTGTTTTTCTTTGCTATGGTCCCCAGGTAGTGATTTGCCACTCTTCAGTTGGTGCACTGTTGCTCTGGGTGGTGACCTTTGGCTCTTCTGGACCTCCAGCAGCCACACTCAAGGTACAGGCAATACACTTAGGGAGGAAAGATCCCAATTCCTGTACTCGTTGCTCTGGGTCTGCAGAGAGGATCCGACCTGGTACAAAACGCAACTACCACATGGAGACTGTGGAGACAGGGGGGCTGTGCTCATATGGGCTGGGGGTGGAAGGATGGGTATCTAAGAAAAGAAACTGTCCTTTGTTTGTGGTCAGCCTTTGCTAAGAAATTGGTTTTGTGTAATGACAGGGACCTTCGGTGCTAAAGCACAAGCATTCATATAATCATAGAATGTGTTGGGTTGGAAAGGACCTTTAAAGGTCACCTAGCCCAACCGCCCTGCAGTAAGCAGGGACATCTTTTAACTATATCAGATTGCTCAGAGCCTCATCAAGCCTGACCTTGAATGTCGCCAGGGATGAGGCCTCCAACATCTCTCTGGGCAACCTGTTCCAGTGTCCCACCACCCTCATTGTAAAGAACTTCTTCCTAATGTCTAATCTAAACCTACCCTGCTCTAGTTTAAAACCATTTCCCCTCACCCTGTTGCTAAATGCCCTTGCAGACAGTCCTTCCCCAGCTTTCTTGTAGGCCCCCTTCAGGTACTAGAAGGCTGCTATAACGTTTCCCTGGAGCCTTCTCTTCTCCAGGCTGAACAATCCCAACTCTCTCAGCCTGTTTTCATAGCAGAGGTGCTCCAGCCCTCTGATCATCCTTGTGGTCCTTCTCTGGACCTGCTCCAACAGGTCCATGTCCTTCTTATGTTGGGGACTCCAGAGCTGGATGCAGTACGCCAGATGGGGTATCACCGGAGTGGAGCAGAGGGGGAGGATCACCTCTCTTGATCTGCTGGCCATGCTTCTTTTGATGCAACCCAGGTTCCAACTGGCCTTCTGGGCTGTGAGTGTGCATTGTTGGCTCATGTCTCGCTTTTCATCCACCAACTGGGCTTTTTCATTCACCACTGGACTAAATGGGCTGAGTCCTGAATGTGTTAGTGGCAGAGATGGACCACTATTAGAAGGGTAGGTGTAACACCACAGTGCCTTACTTGTTCTTGATACATGTTAACATGAAGGTTATTCTCGGCCATGGCAATTAAATAGCATGATACAAAATTAAAATAGTGCTGCAATAGTTTGGCAGCAAAGACTCCAGTATGTCCTGACAGCTCCTGTACCTTTACAATGCATCCTAACCTGACAAATTACAGCAGGTAGGTGAAGACTCTGACAAGTTTGTGAAATGTCAAGTTCAGAATTAAAAATTACCTGACACTGAGAGGAAAAAACGCAATTTAACTAAAATAGTCATTCTAACTCTTACCTCTCCAGTCCCACATCTACAGTCTGATTTGCTGTCCCTCCAGAATTTATCAGCAAAACTTAGAATAACCCTGCTATATTCCAGTCAGGAAGAAAAGAGTTAAATATACTTGCTTACTGTATTTCTGTTGTTGTTCTGAATTATTTCCTGTCCTGAAAACCATCCAGGATACAAGATCCAATTTGAAGTCTGTTCAATTACACACAACAATGAACAGGCAAAGGTAGTAATTTACTGTATTTCAGTTTTGAATGTTGCCATTAGCTTTTCTTGTTACAATGTCAAAGAAACTACCGGCATGAACAAGAAAAAAAAAATCTACTTTCCAGGCCTGTTTTGAGGCAGTCAGAGCAGACTTGAACGTAATTCCCCAAAATCCATTGTGTTCCCCAATCACAGGGCTATTCTGGGATTGCTTTTTCTCATCTGATCCAGAAACAACTCAAAAAAGCTTCCAAAAGAAACCCTGAGATGAGTGTGCTGCCTCAACCTGTTTCACTTCAGCACACTGCCATTTTCAATGACAAAGGTGTTATGCAGAAGCTCTCAACTTGCTGCTTTCACCGAGAACTTCTTCAGTAAGAAATAAAGAGTTTAGTACCTTGATTAAACAAACCACTGAAAACTTAGCTTTAACTATGTTAAAAATTAATGCATAAAATGGGTCAATTCTCAGTTATAAAACCAAGCATACAATTCAGTGCTTGTAGCAGCCCCTCATTACACGTGTATATTTACCTACTAACAAAAAGGCAGCTTAATAGAATCATTTAGGTTGGAAAAGACCCTTTAAGATCATCAAATCCAATCGTTAGCTTAACACTGCCAAGTCCATCACTAAACCATGTCCGTAAGCGCCACATCTACACGTCTTTTAAATACCTCCATGGATGGTGACTCAACCACTTCCCTGGGCAGTCTGTTCCAGTGCTTGATAACCCCTTCAGTGAAAAAGTTTTTCCTAAAACCCCAACTGCATGCCTTTCCTCTTTCAGTGGATGGTACATTAATAATTTGCACCCATCAGAAAGCAAGATGCGAGTAGCAAAGATGACATTGAATACATACAGGGAAAAAAACAAGGAAGCTCATCAAATCTGAATTATTTGCTTTCGTATTTAAATTAATAAACTCATTTGTGAATTAGCCATGGTAACAGGCAAAGAAATTAGAGGCATCTCACTAGATGACTTCTCCAGAGCATGTAATTTTTTGGCAAATTCATGTTATGAAACTGTCTCTTGGGGAGAGAAACAGCCATTGGGGAGTGTGTCTGTTTCAGACATTGCATTGCCCCTGTTACTGTGCTATAGGAGGAAGTCCTAACCTTTCAGGATACTCATCTCCACTACACCTGGTGAGAAAGCATTCTATTTATTATACAAATAAAAAGAAAACAAACACCAGAGACTCAGAGAAACTGATTTGTTCAAATGTACACAAAGAGCCTCTGGCAGTCAGACCCCAGGTGCAACTCCTCCAAGCTGTAAGGGACTTCCCTGAGTATCAGGGTACCCTATTTTGATCAGATTAGGCAACAATAACTGGAGATGCTTGGCTTATCTGAGATCAGCAACAAGTATACTTGATACCTGCTGGCAACAGTATTAGCATCCCAGCAACACTTCAAGACCCCCTACATCTCTGAGTCTTTAACTATGTGGTCCAGGAGGAAGTATATTAGTTATTGTAATTGCAGAGGTCTTTGAAAGTAGCTTCAAGAGTAGACGTTGCAACAGTGTTAGTAATTGCATAGAGATGAAGTTAGCTTCTGAAAAGGAAGAAGGTCTTGATCAGCTTTAAGTAACATGGGTTTTCCACAATGCTGGGAACACTGGGCATCAAAGGGTGCTTTCCTACATCATGATGTTTAATGAGGAAAAAGGGCTCCTGAAAATTAATCAGAGCAGGGTGTGAACTATGGTCTTCTCACAGCAGTTCCACTCTAGATGGGCTGCTTAGGGAGATTAGAGCACCTCATTCCTAAATTCCAAGCAAACGCTTCCCTGTGGCCCAGGATCAAGAGTCCCACTGATGACAGAGGGCCACAGGGGCACAGCTTCAATCCCCTGCCCAGCTTCACACCCACTCCCTGGGAGACCTGGGACTCCCACAGCACTGAAAAGAGAGAGAAAACAGTAACATACCAGCCATTCCCAGACATCCCATCTCTTTTTGAAGCCACAGATCATCTTTAATAACCTAAAGTTAACACAGAAGAGAGCAATTATAAAAAAGAATTGTTTTCATAAACCTCCAATATTGAACTCTTATGCTGAATTTATGCTTTACAATTAGACAGAACCCTGTTCCACAAAGCCTCGAGTTTCAAAATTAACTACTAGAAGAGACACAACACAGATCTAGAGGTCTCCCACAGCTTGTCAAGCAGTATGAGGCTCTGCTGTCTCCCAGTATGGCAACGCACACTTGGGGCTCAAACTGTACTTACACTTCATATTATCAGGATGAGCTTCTGTGCAAAAGTGGAGCAGAAAGGTTTCCTTTTAATTTGCTCTTATAAATAATCTTTCTTTGCCATTTTCAAAGACAGATTTGAGGGCACAGGAAAATCCAATCACAAGGAGTCAGCAGGAATGTGTCCATATTAGATCATCAAGTCTACTGACATTACGCTTATTTCTCCTTCGGAGGAAAATGACATGGAGCCTTTCAAAGGGACCACAGGCTAAAAACTGCAGCTTACAAGGCAATTGGTGACAGCCTCCAGACCACAGAGATTGCTACAGCAATCACAGCTCTAAAACGTCAGTAAAAGAAAACAGTGTTTTTAAGGATTGTTAATGCCCAGTGTTTTGATCAAGATGTGGTAGTCATACAAGCAATTTTTCATTTAATAAAAATGCTTCCTTGCAGGAAATAATAGAGAGTTAGGAATGTTGGCTGATTAACAGTGATCTTCTAAGTCTGCTGAGCGACGTGACCCGCACTTGCTGTTTCTGTTTGCTCCCAAGCACTGCATGTGAGTAATGTTAAGTACTGACTTATGTCAACATCACTGTTACAGTACAGCAAGTTAGGGGCAATTTTCTTCTTTGCCTGCTCGGGGAAGCCATCACTTTGATTATTGCTAGAGCTGTAACTTTAGTCAACCTTGTGGGAAAATAGTTCTCACTTCAGGCAGGGCACTTTCCCTCGAAATAACAGAAAATGCATAAATTTGGATGCACCAGGAGCCCAGGGTTTTAAATGGACACTGCTCTAGAAAACAAGTATATATAGGATTGGAGGCAGCTCTTATGGAAGAGGAAGAAAGGACATAGAAACGAACGTAAGAGGGAACATTCAGCACACTCCAAGAAGCCTTGGGAACAGCTCTGGGAGACCCCAGACACTGAGCTCTTCACTGGGAATATTTGCAAATACCTGGTTGTACAGCTCTCCCTGAACTCCACAATTCTTGTAATCAAACTCATTTATGCCAAAGTTCTCTAATGCCATTAATGATTTTTTTTCTTATTGGTTAAACAATCTACATGACCCTGAATTTTGAGTAGCCAAGCATCTCAAGAAGACAAAAAGAACAGGAAACTCCAGTGGCAAACTTGAACAAAAAATTGCCTCGTGGATATATATATATGTATGTATTTACATACATGCATATCCATATGCAGCAACAGAAATCACATGTTAAAAGGGAATTAACCTTTGCCAGATATTTTTAGAGCAGTCCAGAGCCCTAACTGCATTAAGGAAATGCGTAGTAATACACCAGACAGATGTAATGATGCCAGTGTAAAACACTGATGAAAATATAAAATAGCAATCATAGAATGGTTTGGGTTGGAAGGGACCTTAAAGCTCATTGAGTTCCAACCCCCCTGCCATGGGCAGGGACACCTCCCAGTGACCAGGTTGCTCAAAGCCCCATCCAACCTCGTCTTGAACACCTCCAGGGATGGGGCATCCACAGGTTCTCTGGGCAACCAGTTTCACTGTCTCACCACCCTCACAGTAAAGGATTTCTTCCTAATACCTGATCTAAATCTACCCTCTTTCAGTCTGATGGTCTATTGTATTAAATGTTGAAATAACTCTTGTTCATAAATCCCAAATATTACTCATATGAATTATATCAGCATAGATATGATGTGAATGTTAAACGTCAACCGTTCCTCTGTCAATGAGCCTGTAACAAAAGCAGACAGTGTTCTAAGCGTGCATAAAGGCATGCAGAAAATGTGGCTTGCTAGATAACAAGCTTTATTTCCTACTTCCTAGGAAATTAGTGTACAAATAGCTCCTGATTTCCAGACTCCATGCATCAATTCACCTGGGGTTTTACAACAGCTCACGCACAAAAATCTATGGTGCTTGTACGTCCATGTGCGTCAACTACAAATGATATTACAGCACTCCTGGTTTTTTCTTCTGCCTTATCTGACATTCAGTTCTCAGCAGTTTGCAGTGGAAAATATAGTCCGGATATTCAGCACAATTCTTCCACTCTGCTACACAGTGTGTCCATAATACCAGGGGGCATCAGAAGGGGCTCCGCATCGGCAAATAGTGCCAATTCTACAGGCCAGCCCATCTCATTATGCTTCAAATGTAATTAATTTAATGCAGCAATACTGCCAGCAGACATTTTCCAAGTTTTACATTCATTTATTTTTCTGGTGGAAAAATTAGGTGGTTGGTTTTGTTGTTGTTGGTTTTTGTGTGGTTTTTTTTTTTTTCATTTTCCTGCAATACTATTTCCTGCTGATTAGTATTCTCGTAATTGCACCTCAAACCATCGTTCATGTCTCCCTCCATTCCCAACCTCATGCTCTCAGGTGCCCTCCACACGGGCAAAAGAAAACGACGCTGACACATTTTGAGACAGATTGGTGTATATATATGTACCCAGATGAGGAGAAAAAAAAGAAAAATAAAAGCCGTATCCTAAAGTGCTGGTGGCACTGCTAATAGCGGGCTGACAGCAGTGGGCAAGGGTGCTGTGACCAGACAAAAAACCCACCAAATCACAGAATCATAGAATGGTTGGGGTTGGAAGGGACCTTAAAGGTCATTGAGTTCCAACCCCCTGCCATGGGCAGGGACACCTCCCACCAGACCAGGTTGCTCAAAGCCCCATCCAGCCTGGCCTTGAACCCCTCCAGGGATGGGGCAGCCACAGCTTCTCTGGGCAACCTGTTCCAGTGTCTCACCACCCTCACAGCAAAGAATTTCTTTCTGGTATCTAATCTACATCTCCCCTCTTCCAATTTAGCACCATTACCCCTTGTCCTGTCACTACAACGTCTCTGCTCGGCAGGAACATCCAAGGGGAGCCATGGTGGGCAGGGGGTCCCGCTGCAGCGGCCCCACCACCCCGACCCCTTGGCCGCTTTTCGGGCCGTTTCCCCGCAGCCCGAGTGCCGGGGGAGCCGCCGCGGTCCTGCCGGGCCACCGCTCCTCCCGCAAACCTCACACGGGCCCTCTCCTTCGCCCGCCATCGGCCGCCCCGCCGAGGGGCTGTGCCGCCACCCCCGCAGCGCCCCGCGGCCACACCGCCTTCCCCCCACCGCCGTCCGACCGCCGGGCTCCCGGCGCCTCCCCGCCGCCCCGGCCCCCATCTCCGCGGGACTCGGCGGGGGGCGGCCCCCGGC